ACCCACCAGCCACTCCTTGGAAGGAAGGTTGGGCAATCCTACTTCCATAGTGATACTGCCTCGGAAACCCAAGCAGGGGTCGCTATGAGTCGGGGCCGACTCGACGGCATATAACAACAACAACAACAATAGGTCAGGGAGCTCTGGTGGCATAGTGGCTAAGGCACTTGACTGCTAACCAAAAGGCTGGCGGTTCAAACCCACCAGCCACTCCTTGGAAGAAAGATGGGGCAATCTACTTCCGTAGTGATACTGCCTCGGAAACCCAAGGAGGGTTCACTATGAGTCGGGTCCGACTCGATGGCACATAACAACAACAACAGCAATAGGTTTTCTAAGGAGCTCTGGTGGCATAGTGCCTAAGGCTGAGGTTTGCCTGCTAACCACAAGGCTGGAGGTTCAAATCCACCAGCCACTCCACAGTAGGAAGACTGGGGAATCTAGTTCCATAAAGATTTACCATCTCAGAAGAAATCTTGACTTCTGCCTTCTTAGTTTTTCGACCAGTAAAACTGTAACAAAAAGGCTAGATGTTTTCTTCAGAAAAGTAGAAATTCAAAACACACTTTGAAGTTAGGGTTGAATTCAGAGATGTCAATTCAAAGATGTCAGTACCTCAGTTTTTTAAGATTTTGGGTTTCAAAGAGGGTTGCTATGAGTCATAATTAACTCAATGGCAATGAGTTTGTTTGCTGTTTATTTGTTTTGGTTGAGTTTTATAGTGGATAATTTTAGTTTGTCTATATATTAAGACTGAAACTCTGGGGGAGAGGGGGAAAATCCACATTATTACCTGCTTTCACACTATAGACTTTATTTTCCCAAAAGACTCTTGTATAAAATTTCAGTTAGAGAGTAACGATTATAAATAAGTGATATTTTGTTCATACCTTAGTCAGGTTAGAATATGTATATTGGTGCTTAAAGTACTGGTCCCAGTGAAGGGACATGAGTTTGAAAACTAGACAAATTCCAGTTGTGCAGGCCAGTTATCCACTGTGATACAGGAGGCACACTCGTGAGGCCCTTCTTCACTGGGTGTCCCACTCCTGCTTTTTCCACTCATTATCATCACCCACTCACTCTCCTTCTGCACACTCTGCCTCTCTCTGCATGCTTTTTGGCATCAATCTTAGATCTGGTTTTAATAAATCAGACTTCTAAGAACTATATCTTCAGACTTTCGTGACTTTGGATATCACACAGGTCCAGAAACTTAATTTACTATTACAAAATTAACAGTATTTTAAGGATAAGTGACTCACATTAGCCAATGTCTGTCAGGAACTAACACTCTTCCCACTGCCCCATGACTGCTTTCTTGATTCACCTCCATTTCCTGCTCACCTTTATATAACTTCCAAAAATTCACCATTGGGAAGGGGAAAGGAGTGCCTCTAATAAAAAGAATTACAGAGCACAGTGCTAGTGGCGATTTGTGTGTGTGTTGATATTTACAGGTGAGAATACCTTCCCAGGAGTTCATCTTTCAGTGATGTTACTACAAACTTCATGTACTGACTCCATGCTCATTTCCATCACAAATTATTGCAGAGAGAGAAAAACAGAGTCCTATAAGAAGGAATTCTAGTACTTTATTAGGTATATAATACACAATGCATGGCTGAAATAAATTATCTGTGAATCCTCTTTCTAGTAAATGAAGATCTATCTTACATTAAGATATTCATAAAATCTCTGGTAAATTCATCCCAAGTTAAAAAAAAAATGGACATAGTATAATAATGGGTACACATGTTTGGTGTGACAGAGATGGCCAGATAAACCACCTAAGGACTTCAAAAGTGAGAATATCATTCTCCCCCAGTTGCACCCCACTGAACAATCTCTTAAATGAGGAGGCACAATGCCTCCTCATTCTGTCTCCAGGAGGCAGGTGAATCCACCATTTCTGGGAGAGCTCTGAACAATGGTAGGCTCAAGATGTTGTTGCAGGGACTGTGACAAGGGAAAACATAGGAGTAGAGCTGAAAATAACCTGCACTTCTCTGAGGATGAGCTTTGGTCTGAAATCCAATGCATCCATAGAATCCTAACTGGGATGTGAAGCTGATTCTCAAAGAAAACACTCCTATGCCTGCAATTAAAACCACCATTAGAAATATGGAGTCCTAAGACATGATAACTAAATATATAGATTTCATAACATGAATGTAAGTTTGGTACAACTTACTGAATGACAAAGAGAATAGGAAAATATTAGCATTGTTTATGTGTACAAACAATCAATGCCGTTGACTTCAATACCTGGTCATGCATAAGTGGTAACCAAGGACTGGGTGAGTAGTGGAGTTAACTACCTATATGCTGTGACTTTTTTTCTCCATTAAATAGTGTAAAAAAACCTTACATTTGGTTCCCCATTTCCTCTCCTCTAACATCATGGTAAGCATTCATCTTTTGTCTCAATGGATTTGCCTGTTCTAGTTTGTAATAGTAGACTCATACAATATTTGTGGTTGCATCTAGCTTATTTCATTACACACAATGTTTTCACCGTTAATCCACGTGGTGGCATGTATCAGAACGCCATTTCTCTTTACGGCTGTATGTGTGTATTTACCACCTTGTTTACCCATTCACCTGTAGCTGGGCACTTGCTTGTTTCTACCTTTTGGCTATTGTGAATAACACTACAGTGAACATTGGTGTACAAGGATGTGTTTGAGTCTCTGCTTCAGGTACACACCCAGCTGGGGAATTACTAGCTTGTGTGGTAATTCTATTTTTAACTTTCTGATGAACTGCCAAACTATTTTTCACAGTGGATGTACTATTTTGCATCCCCACCAGCTCCACATATTCACCAACATTTGTTGTTTTCTATTTCCTGATAATAGCCATCCTAGTAAAGAGGGGAAAATTTGGCTGCAATGCAGGAAGTATGGCAGGAATGGCCAGACCTCATCTCTTGTACTTTGGTCATGTTGTCAGGAGGAATCAGACTCTGGAGAAGGATATCATGCTTGGTAAAGTAGACGATCAGCAAAAAAAGAGTAAGACTCTCAACAAGATGGATTGACAGAGTGGCTGCAATAATGGGCTCAAGCATGGGAGTGATCGTGAGGATGCTGCAGGATTGGGCAGTGTTTTACATAGGGTGGCTATGACAGTGTTTTACATAGGATGGAACTGACTAGATGACACTTAACAACACAGCAGTGGATGTCAAGTGGTACCATCTTGAAGTTTTGATTTATATTTCTCTAGTGACTAATGACATTGATCATCTTTCAAGTTCTTGTTCAAAAGGACTTTTATGTTGATCAAATAAAATGATAAGCCTACAAATGACAAAGAAGATAACAGTCAACATTAGTTGGTTTATTCATGGACAGAATGATACATATGTAAAGAATGACAGGAATCCCAAGAATAGACTATGTGCACATTCATTCTAAAGTCTTTTTTAAAGATATAATGGGTGAACAGCAATATTTTACTTTTATGTCTGCAATAAGATCCATTCTGGGTATGAAACAGCCATCTAATAGGAACTGATGCTCCTCTTAGCATGAAATTCTGTATTCGCATTCTTCATATTCCCAAGAAGGGCAATGTGTAAGAAGGATTCTTTAGAACTAATTGTATGGATGGATAGATAGGTGGACAAGCTAAACGATTAAGTATGTCTATGAAATGGAGAGTGTATCCAAGATCATATATAGGGTTGGCAGACAATAGTCCTATAAGTTTATATGAATGATTAGAATTCCCAGATGTATAGTAGAGCTGACAAGAGGCAAGGTTGTGGTCACTTCTTGGTCACAGCCAGCTACCCAGAGGGACCGAGTAGTTGAACCTGCAGGCTTGGGACCATAGTCGCAGGCAACATCAAGCTCAATTGGCATAACAACAGAATATTGTTCCACCTCCTACTTTCATGAGTAGTGACCGGGATCTTAAAAGTTAGTGAGCTGCCATCTAGATGCAATGATGGGTCTCTCCTCGTCAAGAGCAAAGAAGAAAGAAGAAAAACAAAATTAATGGAAACAATCAGTCCTAGTGACTGGTACACCATCCGATCTGCGGCCTATACAACTATGAGACCAGAAGAACTAGATGGTGCCCGGCTACCACTGTCATCCACTTGGAAGGGATGTAGGAGATCCTGGATAGAGAGGGAGAACAATGTGGAACAAAATTCAAAACCATTTGGAGGGGAAAAACAAAAAAAAAGAGAGAAGATGAGGACCAGGTTTGCTGGTCCAATAGAGCCTGGTGGAACCACTGAGACTATGGCCCCTAGCTGCCCTTCAGGTCTGGAATTGAACCCACACCTGTGGTTTCCAGCCAAACAATGTACAGGCATGTGAGTTAAACATTTACCTCAAGTAGACACATGCCCTGGAGAGAACAATCATGGGAGAAGGAAGGGCTCCTTATGCACAGGAAGACAGCTCAGGGTGCAGGAGAGTATGGAGGGATGGTCACTGAGAAGAGGTAACTATGGGGAGGAAGTGAGAGGGGAGTTGTTGCATTGTGGTAAACTGTGATCAATGACATGAGACAAAGTATATGTGAACTGCTGTATGGAAAGTGAATTTGCTCTGTAAATCTTCACCCAAATAAAAATAAATAAATAAATAAAAGGATAGTGAGAACAGTTTAAAAAAAAGACACAGTTGATATATTTTTAGTATTTTATTTGGAATTCTTCCTTCATTCTTGAGTGACTGTTTCTGTAGATTTAATTTGTTGTCTTGGTGTGATTTTGATGTGAGAATTATGTTAGCCTCTTAAAATGAGTTGAGAAGTTTTCCATCTTTATATTTGTCCAAGAAAAGCTTAAATAGAATAAAAATGTTCCCTGAAAAAAAGAAAGAAAGAAAGAAAATGCCTGTGATCCTACCTAAGAGTCATGTACCAGGCTACTTCAACTAAGACAGCAACCAGTTTTCCAGGAAATGTTTCATGGAGATGCTGAGAATAAGTCAGGGGTGGGATGCCTCACTTTTCCCATCCAGAAGCAGTTGAAACTACTCAGAACCAATGCTGGCCTTAAGAATCTCTTTTTGAAGAATTTTAGCATCATCCACCACGGTGTCAAGGAAAACATTTTGTAAATAGTAGGTCTTTCTAAAGTAGAGACCAGTAGCAAGAAAGCCTCCACTGATAGAGCAGAATTTTTCCACAAGATTCAACAGCTTTTCCCCTAAGGTCTCCTCTTGCTTCTCAATTGACAGCAAATGTGGAGATTTGATTTTTGCCTTGAGTTCCTCTACTGACAATTGCAAATACTTGGCCGTGCTTTCCAGGGATGCATCATCCAGCCCAAAGTAAGACCTATAGAGAATTAAGGTCTTCTCTAACTTCTCCACATCTTGATCACTGATGAATCCCATGATAGGGATGGTGGCAGATGCTCCAGCTTTCAAGGCCTCCAGCAAGATGATCTGCTTCAGGGAGTCCTTCTTCCGATCAATGGCAGTATCAGTAACATTAGGCAGGCATTGAATGAAGATGTGGCGCTTGTGAGCTGGAAGCTCCTCCAGAAGGGTGTTCTCCAAATTTGGGAAATCATAGGCAGATACATTCATGCTGGAGATTAAGAAGACTTGAGGGTCTTTCACTTTGATGTCCTGCAGCTGTTTCAGACAGTCATTTCGCATCTGTTCAAGGGCCACATCCTTTTTGAATGTATTGGGTTTACTCCTTTGTAGATTGTGTAAATCACTATCTACCTTGGATCGAACAAAGTAGAAATTCTTCTTCATTTTTCCAATGATTTTAGCCAGTTGTGAATCCGTGTCTTTGAAGCGCGTAGCACAAATAATAATAAAGAAGTCATACTCACCAAATTTCATTGCCTTCAGATAATCCTGTGGCTTGAATTTAGTAGTCCCAATGCCAGGCAGATCCCATATTGTCACATTGGGAAGCTTTGAATGTAGGTATGGCGTTCTCTCCATAGTTGTCTCTACCACCCCAACAGGTGCTGCATCCTCGTCCTCATGTCCAATGCCCCGCAGGGCATTGATGAAACTGGATTTTCCTGACCCAGACTCACCTGTCACAGCAATGTTGAGTGGGGCATTCTTAATATCTTTCAATGCATTGCTGATAACGGAAGCTGTCTCCTCAACATTCCCTTTCTCCAGACTTGATTTAATCAAAGTGATAGCTTCAGGAGAAAGGACTTTGCTTTCCATCTTGAAATCCTTAAAAAACTCCTTGAAGCTGGAGGCCAAATTATGAGCCTTTGAGTCAGAGCGTTCAGAGGAAGGTGACTGACCCATTGCTGTGAGCAGTAAAAGACACTAGAGGGAGGAAAGAAAAAGAAGTACAAAGATGTTAGTATGACAAGGGGAATCTGGGGGTTTGCTGTTATGTGAAATCAGAAGTTTGGCACCCATCCCACATTGTAGCCAAAGATATCTCCCCTTTTTGTTCACAGGCTTTTCCTGGAATCCTGTACTGGATATGAAGTTTGCATTGCTGAGGCTGCATCCTACCCTTGGAATGCCCTCCTCCTTGAAGAAACTGAACTCCAGGTGAGACAGTAGTTGTCAACATTTCCATACTCAACCACAGACATCTATTTCAAAAAAAAAAAAACAAGGCAGAAATTGGACAAACAACTTTGTCAGAACTCTGGAAACCAGTAAGCAAACTAAGTGAGTAATAATAATTTTTAAAAAGTGACATCAAACATTAGAAAAGTTTTGATTTTTCTGTGTACTGTCCACCACTACCTTCCTGGCTTAACATGGGTAACTTAAAGTATGGCATCCCACACTACCAGAAAAGGAGCCTGATTTCTCACTCCAGAGAGGGCAAAACAGAATTTATTCACAAATTATACTGTGTTTCTGTTCTGACCTGGCTGAGGATGCCTGAAGAACTGAAGAAAGGTGTTCATCTCTACTTTGCCTAAAACCCTATGTGGAGCAGAGGAGCAAGGAACAAAGCTAGAAATATCGTGAAGAGGTGAGAGACAGGACACAAACAGACCTATGCACATCCATGTTCATTGCAGCACAATTCACTATAGCAAAAAGATGGAAATGATCCAAAAACCCATCAATAGATGAATGGATAACCAAATTATGGTACATTCACACAATGGAATACTATGCTATATAAAAGAACAATGAAGAATACGTGAATCATCTCACAACATGGGTGAATCTGAAGGACATTATGTGGAGTGAAATAAGTCAATCACAGAACAAATATTGTATGAGCTCATTATTGTAAAAAGTCAAGGAAAATGTTGCTTAGTGAAGGGAACTCACTTTGTAGGTTACCAGGGATGGAAGGGAAAGAAAGGAGAAATTATCAGACTAGTTGGAGGCCAGACAATGATTTGGGTAAGGGAAGTGATGGTATGGAAAGAGTCTGTGACCAGCATGATAACATTGGAGAAAGTGGGGACACTGAATTGTGCACATAAGATATAGATGACAGAGGCTAATACCAGTACATGTACAATACTGCATTACCACTAACACCAAACATCAGACTACAGATAAATGCATAGACAAATGAGAAGATCTGATGGGGGTTGGTGAATTAGAATATGTTCTAGATCAATGATAGATTCAGCTGAAGAATAATCTTGCACAGATACTAGTGATATAAAATAACCACAAACATTACAGAAGCAACAGAAGACAGACATAGAGCAATCAATCTCTCAGAGATAGCCAGACACCTTGGGAGAGAGAACCACCAGATCTGATGACTAAGGACCATAGTATTTGGGGACAATTGACACAACATAATACATAAAAACCTTGTTCCACAACCTACTTGGTGAGTAGTGACTGTAGTCTTAAAAGCTTTCAAGCAGCCATCTAAGATGCAGCTAATTGTCTCCTCTCATCTGAAGTGAAGAAGAGTGAAGAAATCCAAGGGCATTTGGAAACAATCAGCCCTAGGATATGATGGACCTCTAGACCGAAGAACTAGATGGTACCAGACTACCAATGCCAACCACTTGGGAAGAGATCGAAACTGGAGTTCCTGGATAGAGTGGGAGGAAAAATGTGGAATAAAATTCAAAAACACATTAATGACCAGAATTACTAGTTGGGTAGAGTCTGGTGAGTCTGGGATAAGACTCACTCCCAAGAACTGGCTCTCAGCCCAACAGTAGTAAGATTTACATGCAGAACACCCAACCTACTCTATGGAGGTTGGGTGATGCACCCACCTACTCTATGAAGATACACCCCTTAGAGCAATTGGCCATGGGGCACCTGAGGTAAAACCTGGACAGACAGGAGTGCATTACCAAGAAGGGCACAAGGATGGGGGGATTACTGGGAAGGGAGAGGAGGAGAGTGGGTTAAGGTTGGAGATAGTAATCGGGGAATGAAACTAAATGTACGTGAACTGTTGAATGTAAAACAAATTCTGCTCTGTAAATTTGCACCCAAAGCACAATAAAAAAAGAAGAATTTCAATTATGAGATAACAATTATAAAAACAACACTGGAACTGAAAAGTATAATAATGCAAATTAAATATTCACTGCAGGGATTTAACAGATGATTTTTGACAGAAAAAAAAAAAAAACACCAGTGAATCTGAAGATAGTACATTTGAAATTATTGTGTCTGAGGTGCAAAAGGAAAAGAAGTGAATAGATCCTAAGAGATTGGTGGAACACCTTCAACTGGACCAACATATGCTTTATGGTAGTCCTAGAACAAGAATAGATAAAGGAGCAGTAAGAATATTTGAAGAAATAATGGCCAGAATGTCTCCAAAATTGACAAAAACATGTGAATCTACAGGTCCAAAAATTTCAACAAACTTAAGTTGGAGTTTGTCTATGGGAATGGAGAGAAGTGGTTGAATTTGAATAGACTTGGGAAGTCAAGCCACAGAATTTCTGATGTGGAATATTAGAGAAAGAGGATTGTGTGGGTGACTATGAGGATATGAGATGGCTTTGCCTTTACCTTAAATGGACAAGATTGTGGGAGTAGCCATTTAAGTATGCCATCCCATTGCTTATGGCCTCCATAGCTTCTAAGGAAAAACTGGCACTTAATCTTATTGAGGACCCTTTTATATGACAATTAACTTCTCTATTGCTGCTTTCAGGAGCTCTGGTAGCATAGTGCCTAAAGCATTTGACTGCTAACCAGAAGGCTGATGGTTCGAACCCACCAGCCACTCCTCAGAAGGAAGATGGGGCAATCTACTTCTGTAGAGATACTGCCTCAGCAACCCAAGGAGGGGTCTCTATGAGTCAAGGCTGACTCGATGGCACATAACAACAACACCAACATTGCTGCTTTCAAGATCCTGTCTTTATTTTTGGTTTTTGAGAGTTTGATTTTAACATGTCTTAGTTTTTAAACCTTTGGGTTTACATCTTGACTTACCTCTCCACAGCATTGCAATAAATAGCAACCAGTGACCCTTCTAGACAGGGAGTCAGACCATGACTTGACTTCCCTTTGCTCAAATCTTGCCTCACTCAGGAGAAAGACAGTATTTCCAAAGTCCAACCCAATCCAACTCCTGTTGCCCTGTCCACATTCACCTCCAGTCCCCTTTCATGCCTTCTCTCACTTTGCTTTGTCCCCATCATCTCCCTATTGTTCTTCCAACATGCCACATCAGCTCCTAATATGTTTCCTTATTTCCACTCCAGATATTCCTAAGGCTCACTCTCTGTTCTTGTCAGGTCCTACCTTCTCAGTAGTACTGTCCTAACCATCATAATTAATCTCACAAGCCCTTCTTGTAAGGCCATCTCCACCAATTCAACCCAATATTTATTTTCCTCCAATTCTAAGCCCAAAGGGTAACCCAAGGCTAGTCTCATGAATTTCACCAGTCTCTATCCAACAGTAATTCTGGTCATTTTTGTGGTTTTGAATTTTTTCCATATTTTTCCTCCCACTCTATCCAGGATCTCCAACAAAGAAAGAATCTTGAAAGCAGCTCAGAATAAATGAAAAGTTACCAACAGAGGAAAACTAATAAGACTGAGCTCTGACTTCTTGGTAAAAACTATTCAAGCAAGAAGGCAATGGAATGGCATATATAAAACAGTGAAAGAAAAAAATGTTTCCAAGAATTACATATCCAGCAAAAATGTTTCTCAAATACTATGGTGAAATGAAAACTTTCCTATAAACAGAAATTAAGATAATTTGTAAAAACCAGATCAACCTTACAAGAAATCCTAAAGGGAGTTCTCTGGTTGGAGAACAACCAATGGCAGAAAACAACCACATATTAAGACACACAGCACCATTACCTGCATATCAACACAGAAACAGAAGTACAAAAATTAAAATAAATTTGCAAGACAGAGTATAGGGAACCAGAGATTCCGATTTGTAAATGATGATAACTACAAGGAAAAAGAGAGAATAAATGATATAGCTACAGAACTTGCTAATGGAGAGGAAGGGAAGCCTATATCAATGTAGAATGGACAGATTTAAAGGTGCAAAGAAAATAATAAATTATAACTTCAAATAAAATTCATGAAACTTCACACCAAAATAAGAAAGAAGAAAATCATCAAGTCTCAGAAATACACTAATATAATAGCAACAAAGGAAATGATAAGAAAATCCATAAAGAAAATGAGCTCAGCACAGAAAGCTATATGGAACAAAGAAACCATCAACACCACAAACGCACACACACACAACAGCAAAATAACAACACTAAATTCATACCTATTGATAATTAAATTCAATGTAAATAGATTAAGTAAACAAACAGAGAGTAAGAGGATTGGTAGGAAAACATGACCCATCAATATGCTGTCCACAAGAGACACACCTTAGACACAAAGACAAAATAAGCTATAAATTAGAGGATGGAAAAGAATTCATCTAGCAAAAAAAGGCAACCATAAAAGAGCAGGAGTGTACTTTGGTGAGTAGTGACCAGGATCTTAAAAGCTAGCAAGCTGCCATCTAGATGCAAAAATGGGTCTCTCCTCATCCATAGCAAAGAAGAATGAAGAAAACCAAATTTCATGGAAACAATTTGTCCTAGCGACTGGTACACCATCTGATCTGCAGCCTATACAACTATGAGACCAGAAGAACTAGATGGTGCC